ACGCTATTAACCCCACCGCCACTACCCACGGGCATTTTGTAGTCTCCCTAGTTTAGCTCGCATCAAGAGACCAAGATGGCGGCCCGTCGAACTCAACGATCGACATCTACGATCTCACGGAAAAACAGGGGATTGCGAACAGTCTAGTTCAGTATCATTTAGCTTCATTTACTCCCCTTGTTGAGTCTTTTCATGTCTAACAGTCATTTCATTATATTTTACCAACAGATTTTCTTAACTCGCTGAAGTTTAGAAATCAAGTTGTCGAGGCATCCAAACAACAAAGATGGATGAATTAAGCAACTATGAAAGAGGAAGCGCTTCGACTATCGGGATGGCTCCCAATTATTACAACTCACATCAATCGGGCAAGCTCGGGAAATCCCGACAGTGGCTCGTAAATCTGCTCATCATCGGTATTCCGATCTTACTATGTGCCATACTGGTCATCATCTTGATGTTTGTTCCTGACATGAAAGCCCCCGAACCGCCGAATACACAGTGCCTACCCTCCGCGGAGTCGGACAGCTCTAAATTGACGGCGACTCTGAAGAAAATCCAAACCGAATTTTATAACCGCTTGTACCCGGAGAAAATTTACTCGAAGCCTGGAGTCACGCCCGAAGAGATACGATCGGTTTACCGACCATGGGATCCGAGTCCAAACACGATCAAGTTTAAAACCGACGAGGCGGCAAAACTGCTAAAGGAGCTGAAGGATCTGAAGATCAACACGACGCTACTGAAGATAAGAGAGAGGAAAGCAGTCCATGTCGCTAAAGCCATTTTGCTGAATAATTTTGGTTGGGCGCCTTACGGACAAAACTATTATGGCGGGGACTGGATGTTCGGACCTGACTTTTTTTGCTGGCAACCAATTTGTACGGTGCTCCTTGATTTCGGCGCAGTGATTGAAACCTTCAAACCGCACAATACCACTGAATTGAAAAAGCTGGACCAACTCTTTAACCAGGTTAATCACACGTTTGAGCGGTACATCGCGAATTTAGAACTTGGCGTGCTTACTGGCTATGTAAGACCCAAAAAGGCTTGTGTTGGTGGTCTTCACAACTTTCATTACGTTGCCTACCGTAATATAGCCCTGGAAAACGAAACAGGTGAGGGGTGTTTTCCGGGAGAGGCTTACGCTCACGTTAATGTAGAATGGGGTTGGGGGGGGGNGGGTGGAGAGGGGTGTAGCACAATTTCTTAAACCCAGACCCCGGCGCTATTTGATAATTAGATTATGTGCTCTAGATTTCTACGAGGGGATGGTTGATTGAAAGTGGAAAAGTGATGCTTTTTGCAAGGCCCAAGCTCGAAAATTGATTCTAAATTTTAAGGGAAAACCACAACTTGGACTTGTGTGAACAATTGGTGTTTATCCCGTTTTCTCTAACATGCTTCATTAAACACTAAGTTTAGAATATTCTTTTAAGCGTAGTATACCATATCTATTTTCTCAAGCAGGGCGATAACGTAATGCAATAGCTGTTAAAAATTAAAGGAAACCTGTCTCCAAGGATCCCATCAGGATTAAAATTCCAAATGGGGTTGCGCGCCCTGTTTAAGAACCATGGATTTCATGCTATTCATATAATTGGCGCATTCCTCTATCTATATAGCAGTTACTCACGGGAGTGCTTAGTTTGGCTCAATATTTTGGCCGAGACAAAACTAGCCTTATACAGAGACTGGAAAGTTATGTTCCGTACATGGGGAACATCCGGTATGCACAAAGATCGCGGGCTCGCCCCGTTTTATCTTTAAGGCTGTTTTTCAAAATGGCACTTAGCCGCAGTCTCGTCCCCAGGGCTTTTCCAGTAGAGAATCTCTAAGGGAAAGACCCTGGAAACGAGGTCAATTCAGCCCAAGAAACCAATTTGCAAATACGAGAAGCGCTTTCCATTGGACGAAAAATTCCAGCTTGAATTTCCGGATATTTCCAGGGGCGAATGGAAAAGAGGACAACTTCTCGAGGTATACGCAAATTTTCGGAAATTTGTGGCCTGGAATTTTAGTTCCATTTCATTTTCCTCCCGGAACTTTCGGTTGAATGGTTCGCATTTCGGATATTCAACAATTTTCGGATTTTCCGAAAACTTTCCAAGAAAATTTGTCTCTTGTTGATCTGAAAGCACCCGAGGATTTTGTTCTCAGTTCTAAAGTACACACAACTGAAAATTCTCTCTACTCAAAAGTGATCTGTTGAAAAAAATAATGATGTTTACAAGCCTCCATTCTTTCTCACAGGCGTTTACAAAGAAGCGTTCTCCAACGTCATTCTAAAAGAGGACTTTTTTGAAGAGCTATCCAAGGAAGACAAGGAAGATTGGAAAGACAAGCACGGAGAGGATGTCATGAGCTACTTTAATCAGTCTCTCATTACAAAAATTGGACGTCCCGCTTTGAAAATGCTAAGGTTTGTTCCTCATTGTTTGTTTAGTTTAGTTTCGTTTTGTTTTGCAAGGCATCTTTATTTAAAAGTGAGTTACCACGTAAAAGCAACAGCGACAAAAATGACAACAACTCCAGTGTCGACGACAACAGCAGCAGGGATCAAGGAGGAAGTGAAGTGCGTGAGGTGACGTTGTTTTTGCTCGACTTCTTAAACTATATATGTACTCTGTAAATGTTGAGACCGTCGTTTTCGGTAGAAGCAAGGAAGATGGAAAGCCGAGAGCGGCCGGTTTGTGAAAAGGGATTCGCAAGGTAGCAGGAACCAGGACAAATAAGGAAGAGTCTCTTTTTTTGAAATAGAAATGACATAAAAAAGCAGAAACCGTTAAAAAACGTTGAGAACTAGGAGTAAAGGTTAAGGAAGCAGACCTCTTCGCCTTCTCCTCCCCCCAGAATTGCGACCAATGTCATTTCACACGCATACTTTTGGGACTTATTCTATGTTGGCCAGGCCAATTGTAATTTATGCAGCTAGAGCGGTTTTCAATTGAGTGTTGTAAAACCAAAACCAAAGTTATCGCTCTAGTCAATCACAAAAGACACAGACAATCCAGTGAGCCAATCAAAACTCGAAGTCATTACACGTAGCTGACGCGAAACGTACACCTGAGCATAGCACGCCTACATTTTTCTGTTTGTGATGTATATGTTAGCTTAACTTAACTTAGGGATAGCGTCTCACATGCAAAGAACAGATCAGGACAGAGCTATCTGAATGTTTATTAGGCCAAGTCTAATTTATGCCAAGTTGCTTTTTTATGACCGTTGTGTTAGGTATGTCGAGGGAGAACACTTACAACAATGCGCCCCAGAAACAGTGGCCAGCGGTCTTCAAAAACTACCTCTAAGCTATGGCTACAAGGATGAATTAGCTGACACGAGCATAGTGACAACAAAGGAGCTTCCAACCGGAGAACAGCTGGAAGGAAAGAACACGTACAAGTCACTCATGAGGTTTTTCACAACATTTGATATTACGCCAGAGGTTTTGAGGGAGAAGGCTCAAAAACGTTTGGACGAACTTCTTCCACAGGTAATAACTCTATTGAGTCTGCATACAAACCAAGAGGCCCATCCCGATTTCTGTAGCATGAAGTGACTAGGAGTATTTTTACTCCCCCCTGGATGGGATGATAGTCCATCGAAGGGTTACCCCCAGCATTAAGTTCGCCGGTACCCATTTCTACACCTAGGTGGAGAGAGGCACCGTCAGAGTAAAGTGTCTTGCCTAAGAACTCAACGCAATGTCCCCGGCCTGGGTTCGAACCCGGAACGGTCGATCCGGAGACGAGCATGCTAATTATGAGGCCACCGCGCCTCCCTCAAAAATTCTAGTGACGACTCGGCAAACCGGTTTGGTTTTCTAGGAGTAAGTAAAAGACAGAGTTCTGATGCCTGTCACGAAAACCAAACCAACGTTATTAATAAAATTAACCAATCAGAACAAGGAAAATTAACACAAAAAACCAATGGAAACCCGAGGGAAAAATACGCAACCGGTGGATGCCAAGCGCGGGAAAACGCGTACAAGCCAAATCACGAAGAGTTTCAATCTTTCACTTGATTGGTTGAAAAAAGCCTAATACTCACTGTCAGATTAGCCCGTCTTCTGAGAGCTGCATGGAACAATATCTAGAGCGTTTGAATTTGTATCGAGTCGGGCGGTGCGAGTTCAAGGGCTGGCAAGAGTCACTTATTGTGTTTTCGGGTAAGACTTATAAAACTCTTTAGCACAGTGTCTCTCTCGCCTCAGAAGTATATTAGAACTGCTAAAGGCAAAATGACAAAAAGGCGAGGCTAACCTAGCGTCGTAGTAACATCTCACACAGGGAGAGTAGCAATACTTACCTTGCGGTTGCTCTATGCTACAGAATCCGAGATAAGCTCTGACTGTGTGGTTTATGGAGGCGACTTGGCGGAGTGGTTTAGGGCGCTGAATTTGTAATCTGGAGGTCCCTCCACCATACCACCATCTGGAGTTCAATTCCTCCACCGCGTTGTTTAAATAGCCGACTGCTCGGCCTCACACCTGTTGGGATTCTTGATAGTTTATGTTCTATTTGAAATGTTTTTTTATTTATTTATTTACAGTGTCTCGAATCAGTGCGACAATACTGTGGCTTCAAAGGGACATACACTTTTCTCTCTTTTTTTTTTTTCACTTGCGACTTAGCTGCTACTTTCTTGCGACTTAGCTGCGACTTTCTTGTGACTTGCTACTTTCTTGCGACTTAGCTGCGACTTTTCTGCTACTTTCTTGAGACTTTCTTGGACTTGCTACTTTCTTGTGACTTAGCTGCGACTTTCCTGCTACTTTCCTGCGACTTAGCTGCGACTTGCTACTTTCTTGCGACTTAGCTGCGACTTGCTACTTTCTTGCGACTTAGCTGTCTGGCTACCTCGCTAGGCAGCTTGCGTCGGCAGGCCAGGTTGTTTTATTTGAAAACAACGCGGACTCCTATCAATAACCGGTAGTCTGTTTTGCGTTGGCTTTACAGTATAGCTATGAAGTTTTTCGCCGTTTTCACTTTCATTTCGGTGTGCTCTATGTCGCTGGCAATGCTTCCATCTTACTCTCCTGCAATAAGGAACAATGCAGTAATGCGCGACGAGATAATCGAGAACTATTTTAATCTCGGGCTTACTGCACCAGAAATCGCATTATTTCTCGTAAGTGTACATGGTATCGGGATCTCGTTAAGACAATTGAAAAGAACACTCAGACGGTTGGGATGTACAAGACGTCGGCGTCGAAGTAATTTGAATGAGGTGGTGTTTCTCGGCAATGCAACCTGGCCTGCCGTCTCACAGCCCAGCTAGGTAGCCAAGCAGCTAAGTCGCAAGAAAGTAGCAAGAAAGTCGCAGCTAAGTCGCAAGAAAGTAACAGCTAAGTCGCAAGAAAGTAGGAGGAAAGTCGCAGCTAAGTCGCAAGAAAGTAGCAGATAAGTCGCAAGTGAAAAAAAAGAGAGAAAAGTGTATGTCCCTTTGAAGCCACCGTACGACAGTGTTAAATACACTTGACACTTAAATAAAGTTATTGATTCATTTTTTGAATAATGGCCCGATTACATTTTTAACGTTTTGATATACCTGACTCACTAAATCACCTTTTATTACACTTGCCAGGCTGTGCAACTTGCTAAAGATTACACTGGCTTCAAAAACAATGTATCCGCCATTGACGAATTCTCAATAGAGTTTCAGGCCCAGGACAAGTATTTTAATGACAAGTCATTCCCTGCAAACGAGTCTGGCGATGAAGCATTCATCAAATGTAACGACATCAAAAGTGCTGAGGCTTATTGCCCAAAACGATATAAAGCTATGAAGGCGTGGATCGACAACACCGAGAAGGTGAGAATTATTAATGCATAAAACAAGTAGATTCCAGTCATTTTAGTTATATTGCGTTACGTCAGTGCTTGCTTCTTCGCTTTCGCGCTCGTCTTTTGCGCTTTTCGTGCTAAAACGCTTGTTATATAAATTATGATAGACTACATTGTAGCATCCCATCCGGGAAGGAGAGGGGTTTACCCTCTTCTCACTTAGACATGTTAGAACTCAAATGTCACATGCAATTCATTCTAAGACCATGTCTGGTTTTTCAAGTACTGGACTGCAGGGAGGTACCTGGTTATTGAAACACTAAAGGGGGGGGGGGGGTGAGGAAATTTGTAAAAAGAGAATTCCTTCAAACTCTGTAAATTATTTGAAACAATTTTGACGCCATTTCTATGTTTTTTTTAAATTTGATAAAGGACCAACGCTCCGAAAAGGAGCAGATGCGCATCCATACTGCTTTCCCCTCTGTACTTTGCAACGATAGTAATAGGAATTTGCATTTATATTCGACTTCACTGCACCTTCCATAGATGGTGGTAGTTACCTGTTATTTACTGTGAACAAAGTATTGCAGTATTGCGACAATAAGGGTATATACTTATTATGATATATTCTTTCTACCTAATACACTAGCCGTTGTACATCCGCCCCCTCCCCTCCCTGATTTTTTTTTTTTAAGGGGGAGGGGCGGATGTAATAGATCAAACACAAGAGACAATGTTTCANATTTGATAAAGGACCAACGCTCCGAAAAGGAGCAGCTGCGCATCCATACTGCTTTCCCCTCTGTACTTTGAAACGATAGTAATAGGAATTTGCATTTATATTCGACTTCACTACACCTTCCATAGATGCTGGTAGTTACCTGTTATTTACTGTGAACAAAGTATTGCAGTATTGCGACAATAAGGGTATATCTCATACTTATTATGATATACTCTTTCTACCTAATACACTAGCCATTGTACATCCGCCCCCTCCCCTCCCTGATTTTTTTTTTTTAAGGGGGAGGGGCGGATGTAATAGATCAAACACAAGAGACAATGTTTCATCGAGATATCCAGACACCGAGAGGAGAGTTGAAAATACGACGAGCAGAGGAGTATTTTTAACGAAATTCGAGATATTCGAATAGCCGATGAAACAGTGTCTCGAACGTTTGAAATATCTTTTCAATCGAAACAAAAACTAAGGAGTAAACGGAGAAGCAAAATCGTCAAAATGTATGCTAATTAAGACCGGGTATCTAAACCTCCTTCACGGCTGTGATTTTCTTTGTTTAACTTTATAAATTATTAATACATTTGAAAAGTACAAAGGTTGTATAATGCAAGTTTATGACAATGAGTTTAATTCACTTTTAAGAAATTTATTATGATTTACGCTTTGTTCATACGTATTTTTCTAAAATTCTTTTCGATAGAATGTGGAATTAATCGACACATATTTTGGGAAATTGTTCCACGAAAGTGGTCCAAAGAACTGCGTTCCAGATTGCCCGGCGGAAATTGTTCCATGGTTCCATCCACATGCCGTATTTCACGCTTATTTCATTGGTTCGAAAGATTGCTCGATAAAGGCGAAACAAGGACTTCCATTCTTCACTGAAAACTACGGACCGAAATGGACTGAATATACAACAGTGGTTCATGAGATTGCAGGGCATCACATCGAGGTTTGGTCTTGTTTAAGTGTTTGTTTACTCTCATCTCATCACCTCCTTCACCTTCATCTAATTCCTTGGACCAGATTGGCGCATAATGCCTCCACATTCTCTCCCCATCCACTTTTGTCTTGCGCATCCTCTCCCTTTACACTGTACGTCACGTTGTTTTTGGCCAACCTCTCTTTCTCTTTCCCTCGGGGGTCCCATGGTAGGGCTGTAATATGGTGATTTTCAGGTTGCTGTCTTAGGATGTGTCCAAGGAATCGCCATATTCTTCTACCTAACATCTCCACATAACCTCTCTATGCTGGCCCTTTCTAGTAGCTCTCTATTGCTGATTTTGTCCTGCCATTTAACCTTCATCATTCTACTCGGGGATCGATTCAGTTTGAAACACATCGATTTTCTTAGCATCGCCCTCATTCATTTTCCTCGTTTCGTAATCATACATAAGAACCGGCTTAATCAGCGCCTTGTAGAGTCTCATCCCGTACTTCAGACTTCAGATACAGCTGTTTCGCGATAGGTTGTCTTACAAAGCTTGCAAATGTACGCGACTACACCAAAAGGTATTATGGGTAGCGTTAGCCTACCCTGTTTGATCGAAGTTTTTAGCGTTTGAAAGTCATGAACGCACATTTGTGGTTTTTCCTTCTTTCGTTATTAAACAACTTGGACTTCGAATAAGCAACGGTGAGCGATTACAGCCTAGAATACCTTTCGGCATTGCTACGCACGCATTTGTAGGACAAACTTTCTTGCATGAGACAAGATATTTCGCGTGAAAATCCAAGAGACAGTTACAGTTCTTAAAATAGAAATATACGGGAAAGAGTTCTAGGTTATAAAATATATGGAGAGTCCGGGTGATGGGCTCCTGAGACTAAAATTTCATGTCATGCTCCATACAGTCTAATATCTGGTGGGGTTCCGGAATAATAAGTGGAGTTCCCTCAACGAAAGAGTGAGGTCTTAAGTAAGACGGGAGAGCCCGTATCAAAGCGGTTGTGTCCGGAGTAAAAAGTGGGTACCGTTTAACAAACTGGTGGAAGACGGAATAAAACATGAAGACCTATAATCAAAGGGTGGAGCTCCGGAGTGAAGGGGTATTTGATCCCGAGCGCAAGAGTCCCTTCGTATCTGGCTCTGAGACTGTCCAGTAGGAATTGAGTAAAATGTTGCTCTGCGTGTCAAGTGTTAACCGATAAAGATTTTCAGCCAAACTAGCTGGGAGGGAGGGAGTAACTGGGAGACCTTATACAAACTCTGGTACAAGAAGTTAGGTGAGGTGAGGGAGATAACTACAAGAATGAGAAAGAGTGTCAAATAATTAACTCCTATTATCTACGTTATAGGTTCAGAGTTTCACGGAGTATTTTCAAGGCGACTGTACTGATCCAATTGCTTGGTTGAACGCTCCTAACTACTTCACGGCAATAACAGAGGGCTGGGCATCATACGCTGAATACCAGCTATATCCAATGGATACGGAACTTTACACTACGGACAAATCAGATGATAAAGAGAATAGGGAAAAATTACGACAGAAGTATGGCATGCTATACTATCAGGTGAATTGCGACAGATTCTTCAGCAAGTCTGTTTATCCCGCGTTAACAAAGCCTCCTACGCAGACATTCTTTGGGCTCTCCCACGAAGAAGATTGTGTGACGACCCCAAAGAGCGTCTGGGTAGTGGGCTAGCGTTAGCATTCCTCAAAGCATTTGTCTTCGTTATACGTATCGGCACATGCGAGCACTCTTAATTGTCATCATACAGGATTTCACCACCACACCCAAACGTTGGAATCACTCGCTCTCTTCTACAATACAAGTGCTGTCACAAGAGTACTACTCAATACCTCTAATTTAAATGGTACTAGGGTTTAATCCACAGCCTTTATTTAACGTTAAAACCTGTACAGCATAATGTGCATTGCCAAATGAAAGTACTGCTCAATAGCTTTCATTTGAATGGCCACACTCTGGGATTTCATCCACAGACTTAAAAGTTAGAACCACATTGTACATTATAATAAACAGTACCACATGAAAGTTCTGCTCAATAACTTTAAATGTGAATGGTCGCACACAAGTGTTTCATTAAAGAAACTAAAAAGTTAGAACCATCTTTTTCAACATAATTAATCAAAAGAACGTACCGGACATATTTCAACTTCAAAAAAAATGAAAAGCATAAAGTAGGAATTAGTGAATGCAGCGAACAAATCCTTTGAGTTTCCATTTATTTATTTATTTATTTATTTGTTTATTTGTTTATTTTGCAGATTCTACACGCCCTAAGGGCTGCGGTAGATATTGATTTACATTACTATGGGAAAGACGTGAGCCTTATTCTGGAGATGTACCGCAAGTATGTCTGGGAAGACAACAACCATCAAGTCAAGAAAGACATTTACCGAATTCAGAGCACCCCGGCATTTGTAACAAGCTACATGATTGGTCAGTTAGAAATTGAACGCGTCAGGGAAATGGCCGAGAAAGAGCTGGGTGACGACTTCTCACTGAAAGATTTCCATTACGAGATTCTGCGCGAAGGGGAGTTTCCGCTGGACTACTTAGAAGAACACATTAAGGCGTATATTGCATGCAAAAAAAATCCCTCTAGCATAGGCTGTGAGGAAATCGTGTAATCTTCATTCAGTGAACACTAGTGATTCTCAAGGTACTAATGTGCGTCGTCAGGCGAGCAAGTGAAACACTTGGTTAAAAAAAGGCGATTTACATAATGGCGTCATTTGACTACAACTATCACAACCCTTCACTTTCTGTTTTTTTATGCTAATTAGGGCAATTGTTATTTAAACCCCAGTGGGGCTTCAAATTTTAAAAAATAAAGAAAAAACGAAAGTAGTTCTGGTAATTGTAGTCAAATGACGACAACGTGCAAATCTGCTATTATAAACTTAAAGTTAAATGTAAATAACCATCGTAAAGAAATTGGAATGCTGACTTTTCGACTGTTAGCCGGTCATTTGCTAGGCAAATTATAGAACGGATGGCGTTCGAAATAGCTGAGTGTGAAACGGCAGCTTTTTAATTGCTTAGGGCGGAAGAAATTGGAATTTGGACAACCTTTCTTGAAACAGTTGTATCTTACGAATATTGCATGTTAGTATTTGCCATTAGAATATAGCTCTGTACACCCGCTTTTGAAGCTGGGTGTGCATTATTTTTTTTATAGATGCGCGGCTGGAAATTACATAGAACACGTATGTCCTGGTTGTTGCGTTGCCAGCCCAATCACCGTTACTTGGACTGGCATTATCTGTTCCTCAAGGCACAAAGTTTTCCTCGAGCTACGCTCTCGGAAAACTGTTTGCTTCTCGGAACAGATAATGTACGCAGACAGATGCCGAGCATATTTTCGCATATTTTCGTGACGTCATGTGCATACGCTCCATTGTTTCTTTAGGGGGTTGGGGTTGTAAAATGTTGTTATTTCGTACACAGATCCCCAACGGCCAGGCTAGTGTTTGTATTGAGTGGGACCTGGATACGATTTTGGGTGATTGTGAACAAGAACTCGTATCCATATACTTGATTGTACATACAGTGTAAACCATTTGATCATTAACAACAGTTAGACTAATTAATTTTAGTGAATGTTGTAAACCCGATCAAAAACCTGATAGAAAACTTTTAGAACGCGAAGCAATAAGAGCTAAGATATCTTGCCCCCAGAAATAGAGGGAAAAAAACTACTGGTTTTGGTTTTCCTCCGTTTAGACGGCAGAAAATATATATTAGTTCGAGAGTTGTGCTTTTTAACCAATTCTGATATCACATATTTAGTTAGCGAATAAAAGGTCTATGTACCTGTCAAGACGTAGATGTAGATGAAGATGTAGAAGACAGAAAATTTGAACATTCTTGTCCTTTCACTAACATTAAGGGGTCGCAATAGAAGGGAACTTTAAAGCTTAATTTTTGTCAACTCACCTATCGTACAGCTATATGTCTAGGTAAAATAGTTAGTTTGCTTTTGTTTAGTTTCAAGAGTTTGAAATAAATTTATGCTGTTCCAGCGTGTTAAAAAATTATCTAAGTTGATGTGGTCTTGAGCCAAGTTATTAAACTTACACGTATGATTTTTATCTCAAAAGGGTATAAACGTTCCCCTTGATCAAGAGAGATGGCTGTGTGGATATCGAGAAATGGATAATTTGGTGGAAAATTTCTCGTGAATAAAAGTCGATTGCTAGGCTCAAGAAGGATATTTTTTCACCGAATCCTGACTCAGTTTTAGACTTTTCTATGACCCATATTCTGATCTGGCCTCTAATGTCCATATGGTCATTTTCAAACCGCTGGCTGTGTGCGCATCTAAATTGACGGTAAATTGCGCTGTAACACTTAATCAGTGAGGTCGAAAGCCGAGCCAGCTTTCACCTCACAGAAATCGAGAGTGAAAAATCTAGTTGATTTTGCCGAAGTTCTAGCTAAATCTTCACACCACAATTTCTAGTTATTTCTTTATATGTCAAGTAGTGTGAATTGAACTTCACCCCTAAGCAAAGTCACGCGCGGATTGAATGATCGCTTAAAACTTGCAGCTGTTTAAATGCACTCATCAGGTTATTGGGCAATTTCAGGTTTTAAAGCCGCATAACGGTCAATCTCCTTTCATTTGTCTTCTTGGTAACTGAATTATCCAGATATCTCTCCAAATCTTCCTCTGAGACAACGGAGAAACGAGAAAACGAGGTCATTACTGATGTGGATGGCCTCCATTCCGAACTACATTCTATAAAGGCTGATGGCACGTGTGTGATAGCTCAGCCTGTCAAATTAGCTCATGTGAATAAGTATGGATGTAGAAATCTATTTATATGTGATATTTTTTGGTTACTCTAGCTCTGTCTTCTATGAAAGAGTTAGAAGTTACCCCTGTGGTCAGATAGGTTAGATATGATTATTCTATTAACTTGCCTCCGAGGCTTAAGGGATTAAAAGCAAAAAAGAAAATACGATCAAAGTTGAGGGATGAATTATTTTAATTCTTTTGTTTTATTCCTCTAAGCCTCCGAGCCAAGTCAGAATTTAATATATCGAAGTTGACCTCACATGAGTGGTAAGTAGGAACTAGGAAGACTCAAAGTTTATCAAACAGAGATTCGTTTTATCAATTCGAACACAAGATTAGTGTTACACGTTGTCTTTTGATGATTTTTTATTATTATTATTATTATAAAGCATCTCTCTATAGAATTCGCTTATCACTTACATTTATTCCTATCGCCACATAAAGCCCTTCCTCAGGGGTGTAGCCAGGATTTTTCAAAGGGGGTCACACTGTGTCAAAGTGAGTGTATTCACCAGATTGTCATGACGTTTCCGCCACCTGTTGTGGGTTGTTTGCTTTAAAATGTGTCCCATAAGTGTATAGGAATATATGTAAACTAACTTCAAAAACGTACATAAACATTGCTGTGAATATTATTTCACTCGCACTTACATCATCTATTTACTAATAATCTTTGTACGATGCTAGCTTGTCTAGTTTGTCGTCAAATATATATACTTCTCGACTGAAATTACTTTAGCTAAGAACAACAATTCTATACCTGCCCCTGGTAAACCCTGTTACATCACAATGCACGTAATTAAACTTATGATTATTGACTAACAGTCTGAAACAATTATTATGTCTATGAATATTCAGCCTTTAGTCTAATGAGGCAGGGTTACAAGCTAGGGTATTAATGAGCATCATCCAAACACGCGATATTTAACAGCGTAGTGAAACA